TCCTACAGGCTCTGACATGTGGAATAAATTAGAAACTAAGTTTTTGAAAGATTCCATAAAACATGAAAAAAAATCCATGAGATTGCTCTGTACATCCATATAAACAAGAATTTGACTGAAAATGCAAATAAATAATGAGAAGTTTGGTGTTTATTGACCAAAGTTATAAAGATTTAATTATGTAGTATTTGCAACATGACAGTTGTTACAAGTATATTGATTAGGATGAACAGAAATACTGGTTTTTGATTGTTTATTACATAATGCACCAAATTATTACACCACCACATTTTGTAACAATTGCAGCAAAATGCAATAACGTTATTACATAATGCGTTGAAGGCTTTTATTACATTTTGTGTCAATTATTACATAATGTGGTTTTAGTGCGAGTTTATTACATTTTGAAGCCTGATTTAATTACATTATTTCATGTTGCGCTGTGATTACAAAACGAGGTCTTACAGGCGTGAATATCCACCGTGTTGTAGCGTTGTTAGTGATATTTAAGTATTGTCCAGCACTATGACAAGGTAAGTGTTTATACAAGAAAAGGTCCTAAAACAGTAACAAAAACCAGGCACACACACAAGTTTGCAGCGTGGAAGCAGAGTGCAGTTTTTCCCCAAGTTTTCTTAATGACTTGATTTTATGTGAAGAAAAGGTACCCATCATTCACATCATAAAGATCAACTGAACAGAAGTTACTGTCATCACATGAACTATAAAAGCCAGAATTAGACTCCAGATTTTTGTTCAAAGCAGAACCCACTGCAGGAGATAACTTTAGTAAGTACAGTTCTGATATAAAAAGATCAAATCACTGCCATTTCAAACAACAACCACAAAAACCTTCCAAATTTTTCCACTTTGGGACGACCTGTTCTATTAACACCTTTGTCTATAAAAAGGAAACAGCATTTCAAAGAAAAAGAAAGAAAAAAAAATCTAAAAGTGGTTCACTCCCAGAACAACTGAGCTACTTACCTCTGGATTGTACTCAAACATGAGTTGATCTCCTGTCAGGAAGTCCTCCTTAGGGAACAGCTGCATGTTTTCACAAATGTCCTCTACGTACTCGATGGGGTCGATCTAACGACAAAAGCAAACAGCCATTTTTGAATTTATAGCACAACATTTCTCGGCCACTTCTGAAAAGCACATCCAACACAGCAGCTTACTTGTTCCTGGTAGTGAAATTCATTTGCTTCTATCTTCTGAATTTCCTCATATATTCTGAGAACAAACAAGCAAAGATGCAGAGTTACAACCCATCACAGAAAATTCAGTTGCCACAACACCAGAGATCAGGGGGAAGGAACTGAAATGAAAAATGAAGCAATAAATGTGTAAATGAGCAGACAGCTAACAAAAACACACTTACTATTAATATGCATTATTTTCATTTTTTCTTCTTTGGACTAAAAACAAAACAAACCAGTAATAAAACTGGGTTTGTTTAGGAAAGAAAACTTGTCTTTGTTGTCGTTTAATCCGCTTCTTTGTCTTATGCTACCTCTGACATYGAGGTAATGTTTTTAGTAGAATTGGTTTAGTTTTGATTGTTTGTTTTTCTGTCAGTGGACGAGTTGTCAACGGGTTTTCATCAAGTTTTGGCATGTTGTTACAAAGAGCAACTCTTTCAATTTTGGTGGTGACCTGGCAAAATCTGCCAGAGCCAATCAGAATGTAGCAGAACTTTGTTCCACCAATCACAGCTCAGGAGCTGCACACCCACATCTGAATAAACTATGGCTGTGTCCAAAACGGCAGGACGGGTCCTCCGAAGGTCGAATTTGTCGGCCGCATATGTCACAGCGCCGCGACGAAGGACGTCCAAAACCGAAGACTCCTCCGATGCGGCCGACAAATACGTCCTTCCTTTGGCCCGAATCAAAGGACAGGTCCAATGGATCCTTCCCGGCCCAGCATATCCCATAATGCATTGCGGCTCGACCGGAGATTTGTTTAAGCTAGTAATGGTGGACGAAGCGAGAGAAAATAATACATTTTAAATTAAATTATGGTGATATAAAAATTAAATAAATT